TACCATTGTCTTGGAAACTGCTTTAATCCGTACAAGGATTTCTTCAACAAGCAAACATGATCTTCTTTTCTTTCAACTTCAAATCCTTCGGGTTGATGCATGTATATTTGTTCCTCAAGTTCGCCATGTAAGAAAGCTGTCTTAAGATCAAGTTGTTCTAATTCCAAATCATACATGGCAATGAAGGCAAGCAAGACACGAATAGAGCTATGTTTAACAATAGGTGAGAATATATCATTAAAATCAACTCCTTGTACCTGACTATATCCCTTTGTAACTAATCGTGCCTTATACCTCGCATCTTTAACCCATGGAATGCCATCCTTTTTCTTGGAGACCCATTTGCAACTAACAATTCTTTTTCCTGATGGCGGCTTCACAAGAGACCAAGTACCATTCTTGTGGAGAGACTCAATTTCTTCATTCATTGCAATCAGCCACTTGGCTGAGTCAGCATCAGAAACTGCTTCTGAATATTTTGATGGTTCTCCAATTTCTTCAGTTTTTTGTGCAACTGAAAAAGCAAATGCAACATAATCTCCAAACCTTAATGGTTGTTTATCTTCTCTTCTTGGTCTATGTTTGGCTATAAAATACTCTTCTTCTTCTGGTTCAACTTCAGGAGTCTCAACTTTAGGAATTTCAGCTTCTGTCTCAACTTCAGGAGTTTCAACTGTATTTTGCTCCAAAGTTGATGAGCTTGGCTCAGAAGGAATGCCAATCTCAATCTCCACCTAGTTTTGTGTACTCTTTCCTTTATCTGTATTACAAGAACTAGAAGACTCTTTTCTAGAATGTAACATAGAGGATTCATCAAAGGTTACATCTCTGCTAATTATAAATTTTCGTGTCGTGGGATCAGGATACCATAGTCGGTATCCTTTCACCCCAGATGCATATCCAAGAAAAATACACTTTTTAGCCCTTGGCTCTAATTTTCCATCATTTACATGCATGTATGCAGGGCAACCAAATATCTTTAAATCAGAATAATTAGCAGGAGTACCTGACCACATTTCCTCTGGAGTCTTAAAGTTCAAAGGTGCAGAAGGAGCTCGGTTAACAATATAACAAGCTGTAGAGATAGCTTCTGCCCAAAAGTCTTTTGTCAACCCAGCATTTGAAATCATGCAGCGAGCCATTTCCAAAAGAGTTCTATTCATCCTTTCTGCCACACCATTTAGTTGAGATGTCATTCTCAGAGTACGATGTCGAGCAATTCCTTCATTCTTGCAAAATTCGTTGAATTCATCATTACAAAATTTCAAGTCATTATCTGTTCTAAGCCGCTTAACCTGTTTTCCTGTTTGCTTCTCAATCAAAACTTTCCATTGTTTGAAATTTAAGAAAATAATACTTTTATTTTTCAGAAAATAAACCCAAACTTTTCTTGAATAATCATCAATGAAAGTTAACATATACTTGGCACCACCTTTTGATGGGGTACGTGAAGAACCCCAAAGATCTGAATGAATGAAATCCAAAGTACCTTTTGTTCTATGAATCGCTGGAGATTTGAAGCTGACTCTTTTCTGCTTCCCGAACATACAATGTTCACAGAACTCCATATTTTCGGTACTTTGGCCACATAAGAGACCTCTTTTGCTGAGGATGGAAAGACCTTTTTTACTCATATGCCCCAATCGCATATGCCACAATTTGGTGATGTCAGAATCTGATTTATCTGATATTGAAACTGCAGTAGCACCTGTAACAGTAGATCCCAAAAGAGTATACAACGTACCAGATCTGCGTGCTTTCATGATCACAAGAGCACCATGAGAAATTTTCAGAACTCCACCTTCACCTGTGTACTTGCACCCAAGAGATTCTAGAGTGCCCAAAGAGATGAGATTTTTCTTCAAGTCAGGAACATGTCTAACATCGGTGAGAGTTCTCACCACGCCATCGTGCATTTTGATTCGAACTATACCTTTTCCAATAACTTTGCAGGCAGCATTGTTGCCCATCAAGACATCTCCACCTCCAATAGATTCATATGTGGTAAATAAATTTCGATTGGGACACATATGATAAGAACAACCCGAATCTAAAATTCACTCATTGTTAGATTTGAAACTATTATTAGTTGCTAAAAAAATAGTTCCCTCAGTCTCATCAGCAGCTACACTTGCTTCGGCAGTGTCAATATTTTTGTGCTCATTTTTCTTTTCTGTATGCTTTTCTTTGTTTTTCAATTTAAAGCATTCAGAAATAATGTGACCTTTCTTATGACAATATTTGCACATGACATTTCTNCTCATTGTTAGATTTGAAACTATTATTAATTGCTAAAAAAATAGTTCCCTCAGTCTCATCAGCAACTACACTTGCTTCGGCAGTGTCAGTATTGATTTTGCTCATTTTTCTTTTCTGTATGCTTTTCTTTGTTTTTCAATTTAAAGCATTTATAAATAATGTGACCTTTCTTATGACAATATTTGCACATGACATTTTTGTATCTGGATTTTGACCTTG